GCTCTGTCGGCCGGCGCCCCGCTGATGAGGCAGAGAGCGCCGCGATGGTGATGCGCACTGGGCGGTGGCCGAGGAGGGTGGCCGAGGAGGTGGGTGTATGCGTGCTGCAGGGTGCTGCCCGCCGGGGGATCGCCGTGGCGACGAGCCCCGGGAGAGGCTGCAGCGGCGCAGGCCACGGACGACTGCACGGGCCACGGGCGGGCGACTGCACTCGCTCTGCACTCGCACTCGCAGGGCGATAACAGATCGGGAAGGCGTTGACGTGGTGACGACGGACCGGGGGTCGAACCCTCCTCCCTTCTGATTAGCCGCCCCGACCGCGTCGTCCCGGCCAATCACCGGCCCCGCCTCCGATCGTATATAACACCGCAGGCTTGGCCCTCTCCGCTACCATCTCCCCTCTTCCTCCCGCTCTTGTTTCCTCTGCTTCGAGCTGCTGCTCGCCCTCGTCTCAGGCCGGTGCCTACTGCTTTCCCTATCGCGACCCGGGGTCGTTTTCTTCTTGAGCTTACACAGCATCGCTTTCGCTCTTTTCTTCCGGACGTCGCTTTATTTCACGGGTAATCAGGAATCATCATGTTCTCCAAGAAGGCCTTTGTATTCGCTCTCCTCTCCCTCTCCCTCTCCGTCGCCGCGAAGAAGGATGAGACTTGCGCGGTCAGTAGCCCCCGTCCTCTCGTAAGCTCCCACGCTGATCGACGCGTTTTGACTTGCACAGGCTTCTGGCGCGAAGACAGTAACTGTCACTCGCACCGTCGCTGCCGCTGCCGCTACCGGAAGCTCCGTCTTCGCCGCCAACCCCGCTGCGGGCAAGGGTGGCAAGGGCTTCGGCGGCAAGGGCGGCAACAACGCCGGCAAGGGCACTGGCGCAGCGGCCGGCAAGGGTGCTGCTGCCGGTGCGGGCAAGGGCGCGGCTACTGGTGCGGGCAAGGGCTCTGCTGCCACTGGCAACAACGCGGGCAAGGGTGCTGCCGCCGGCAACAACGCGGTAAGTTAATCCTTGATTGATCCGTGGGTATCTACTAAATATAGATACAGGGCGCTACTGCGAACGCCAACGCCAATGCTCAGACATCACTGACCCTTGTGCAGTCGGTCATCGCGACTGGCTTCACCAACAACGGCCAGCAACCGTGAGTATGCTTTCCCGTCGCGGATATTCATGCATACTAACAACAATCTTCAGACCTGTCGCCGGCCAGGTCGCCTCCCTCACTTCCTCCAACAACTTCATCAACTTCTGCGCGACCGCCCCTCAGTTCCCCATCACCAATGGTGCCCAGGTCAAGACTGGCTCATGTAACCCCGCGCCCATGGGCCTCATTGCGCCCACGACCGCGATGCCGTCGTCCAAGTTCGTGAACCCCAAGAACCTCGCGACGATCCCCGCGAACACGAACTTCACGATCCAGATGGCGATCAAGAACCTCGAGACGGGCCACTTCACGAACGCGCAGGCCAACTACTTCGCCGCGCCCCAGCAGCTCAACGCGCAGAACACGATCCAGGGCCACTCGCACGTCGTCATCGAGGCCATCCCCTCGCTCGACACCACCCAGGTCACGGACCCGAACAAGTTCGCGTTCTTCAAGGGCCTGAACGACAAGGCCGTGAACGGCGTCCTCTCCGTCGAGGTCGGCGGTGGTCTCCCCGCGGGCTTCTACCGCATGGCTTCGATCAACGCCGCCGCGAACCACCAGCCTGCGCTCGTCGCCATCGCGCAGCACGGTTCCCTCGATGACATGGTCTACGTGAGTTGCTAATGGTGCCCCCAACGGCAAATGCACGCGCTGACATCCTCCCTCGCAGTTCACAGTCTCGAACAACGGTGCTGGTGCCGGTGCTGCCAAGGGCGGCAACGCTGCCGCTGCGGGTGGTGCCGCCGCGAACGCCGCTGCTGCCCAGAAGGCCGCGGCCGCGCAGAAGGCTGCCGCCGCACAGAAGGCCGCTCAGCAGAAGGCCGCCGCTGCCAAGGCTGCCGCCGCGAAGAAGGGCAAGGGCAAGCGTGTCAGCAAGAGCCGCCTCTAAGCTCTCTGCTCTGACCTTGCTCCCTCACCGCACACCTCCCCCACGCGCCCTTTTGTCTTCTGTTTTCGCGCACGTCTCTATACGCGCTGGCTTGTCGCATTCGTTTTCTTAGGTACCCTTCCCACATCGATCGATTTTTTCTTGCTGCAATTTGTTACCCGTCGTTATAGTCTGTCGTCCGCATCCACTTTTTGCTGTGTTTTAGCTCATTTACTTCTTCTTTACCCCGTTCTTCTTCCTTGCCCCGCACTTTGTGCGCTTGCACTCGGACGCTCTGTAGACCCTCCCCCCCTACCCCTCTCACCGCCCCACGATGCTTGCAGGCGCGGGGCGTGCGTGGCACGCGAGTTCCTTTTGACGTCCGCTTGGAGCAGAGCACCCCAATATAACAGAGCATGATGGAAACCCCCCATTGGACGTGCGTGTGCCGTGTGTGGGGTCGTCGCGAAGAAACACATGAGATATGCGTATGTGTACGTATGTTCGGGTCATCGGCGAAATTGGAAGATCACCGTTGCGCCGTATGGGTAGGTACGCACGCTCGCTCGCATCAAACTCGTCGGCGGGTGCACCGTGCGCACCCGCGCTGAGTCGGCCCATAGTCAGGACTCAGCAGCTAACACCGAACAGATCCCCCCCGGCGTCCTCTCGCCCTGGCCCCCTCATTGGCTCGGGTCCGGGTGTACGACCTTCGTTCCCTCGGCCTCGGTATTACAGTAATATCAGTACTTGCGGCTTGCGGTTTATCTCGTCCAATACCGTCCCATCACGGGCGATCATACGCGTGCCCGTGCGCCGTGCGGATCTCCATCCAATCCTGTTCAATCCAATCCCGATTATCCCCTCCTCGGCAACGATTGGGAGTGAGCGCTATATATCGAGCGCGAAGCGGCCGATCGCGTCACCGCGGTAGCGACGAGCACGGTGCACCTGGGTTCGTTGGTTGGGGCTCTTTTCGTTCCTGATGCCAGTTCGGGTTTAGATCGTCGCGTCGGAGGTGTTCAGGCAGGCTGCGTATATATATATGTATCTATCGAAGTAGCAAATGCCGCGGGTACCAAGTACGTACGTATACAGTGACAGTGCTCACTCGCGAGATCGTGTGGGTGTGGCCCCCCGCCGCAGAAGTCTTCTCGCGAGTTCATGATATCCATCGCCAACGACAGGGCTGCACAGTCGCTCGGGTAGACCCTGGTCAGGGACGCCCGAGGGTGGGGGACCGGGTGCGGGGGTGATGTTAACGTTGTCAATGTCTATTTCCGGGACGGACGTCTATCATTAGGACTACATATATATCATAGTGGTTGATTAAATAATTAGGGGGCCACTCGCTTCCCGTCGGTAAAGTGGGTTCGTATCAAGGGAAGTTGAAGAGGGCCTGTTTGACCCTGCAGGGTGAGCCGCCGGCGAGGGTAGTTTTAAATTAGGGGGGTGCGGGCCCAAGGTCTCACTGGATGTTGGCAGACTCGACTCAACTCCTCTCCGGGCCCGAGCCCGAGCCTGAGCCGGCGAGTTGGTTGTTTCGGAGCTGACCTCCCCGGGTCGCGGTATATACACACACTTCGTTGTGCGATCTGCGTGTCCGTGCCCGCTGCGCACTGCACGTCGGCCTACTGGTACTATTGCTATTGCTATTGGTGCTCAAGCCTCAAGTATGTAGGCTTCGACCGATCGTGATCGCGCTAGGACCTTCGGGGCGGGCTCCGTGCCCGAAATGGCCGGCGAGTGGCTGGCCAGTGACGACGACGGACTCGAGGAGCTCAGACTCGTAGTCCGTCACGGTCCGGGTCCGTCCTGCGGACGACAACCGACGGACGTCGTTCGGTAAGTTGAATTCGAAGGGATGCCGGGGGGGTTCGGGGAACTCGGGCGGGCGCATCGGTGATCGACGTCTTGCACACTAGCCTAGCTGGCTCGAGAGCGTAATGGATGGCAGACATGGTATCATTATGCGGGGACGGTCGGGCCTTTGCTTGACAGTGAGGGGGCCTTTGTGCGTTTTGTTCGAACCCGGCGCTTTCTTTTCGAGGCGGTCTGTGGACGATGAGAGGTCCTGCTGGAGGCCTATTTGCTTGTAGGTACGGTGAGCGAGGGCGAGAATCACAGTAAGTACTCGGCGCGCTCGCGATGTTGGTATTCCTTCACTGGAAGTGCTGCGTACACGTACCGTCGTACTTTGCTACGTTCGATCATCATGGAGCTAGCTGGTTGCCCACCGCGCGCTACCAGACGGCCCCGAATTCATGCGCAGTATGGCCGACCAGGCTTTCAAGTGGTGATCCAAGCTGCAGTGCAACTGCCGGACAACACAACGACATTGTCTACTACCTTTGGTCCCCCATGAGTGACGCCAGTCTGGGAGGCAGGGGCAGGGTTTTTTGAGGGCACGTGCTCATCGTTTCGCAATCTTGTGGATACCGCGGTTAGATGGCTGCTTTTGACGGTCAGACGTAAGGTAGCAGGCCTATCGGAATATTGCTGTCAGTATTTCCACGCGCTCGGCGAAGCGCTGCGATTCGGGGCTGTCCAGCTCGTGCTGCTTCGCAGTTTGGTCACGGAAACGGCCCGGCCCTCAGGTCTACTACGAACCATGAAGGTGAGCATTTTGCACCGTGCTCGCGGTATAGCAGGGCTCACCTCGTATTGCATCTGCGGCCACTTTCTCACGTCCGGGTTCAGCCTGGAGGGCGGCGGTCCGGCCGGTGAGGCTCCAGCTCGGGCTCGGACTCGAGGGACCTTCGGCGGGTGGCGTATGGCAGTACTAGTACTAGTGGCGATGTCGATGCAATACGAGAAAACTTATGAGAATATGGTGGCGAGTGCAAGAGGGGTGACGGGGTATGGTGCTACATGACAGTTTGACTATTCGAGGGGCCTCCGGCGAGCTCGGACTTGCTTCAAAAATGCGGACATCGAGAGGGGAGTCCCCCACAATTCTTTCATGTAAGCTCTTCAAGGAAGCGCATTAACATGGCGAGATGGCCGAGCGGTCTAAGGCGCCAGACTAAGGCGACACAGTGCGCTATCTGGTCCGAAAGGGCGTGGGTTCGAATCCCACTCTCGTCATTTATCGTCTTTGTTGTTGTCGATTTTTTTTTTTGCTTTTTTTGTTGCCTTGGGAAGTTGGGAATCCCTTCCCCGCAAGGGCTCTCCGCAGCTCCCGCGAGAGGTACAGATACCCTAGGGGGGCCACCCCGGAAACTGCGACCATTACGCGGGATGATGGCGGCGTGTACGCACTGTGCTTCAGCAGAAGGGGTGTTGGGCTGAAGAGCATGTCATATGCCAGTGGTAGTAACACGTTGATACTATACATGAAGCTCGTAGACTCTAGCTACAGTACCTACTAAAAATACAGAATGCAGATTGCAACTGCTGCACACGTTCGCCTCTCAAAGTTCGATCTACTTAACCCGGGGCATCTGTCCGAGCCCGCTTCGCCATCGGAGTCGTTCAACGCGAATTACGCAATCAACGTTAACCTCGGAAGCACTTCGAACTTCGAACCCCTCCCTCCTTTCGTGCCCCCAGGCCTCAAGCATCAGGATCCAAACCACTCGGCTTGTCTTGTGTACATAATTACCGCACACGTTCACGCGAGCACGTCCCCGACGATCTCGACCGACTCGCCCGTCTCCGTGCGGGACAGCGCCGGGGGCGGGCCCGGGGCTGTCGACGTGACCACGACGGCGCGGCGGACGGATTTGTCCGACGGGAGTTCTGCAGCTGTCTCGACCGCATGCTTGCGAACGTCGGCGTCGGCGTCGGCGTGGCGGCCGCGCTGGGGATGGTATCGGTGCTGTTGCTCGCGGTGGCGGACCTACACGTATCCAGAAAAAAAAAGGAGCGAAGAAAACGGAAAGAAACGGCGGAATATTAACACTATGATACGGTATACCGACAAATATGCGCCCACAGGCTACTCACGCCTCCTCCAAGCTCCCCCCGTCCTGCGCAGACTCGGTGCCCGCCGCAACCCCGCCTGCGCCTTCCGAGTTCTCCTCCTTCTCCGTCTCTTCCGCGCGGAGCTTCGCGCCCTCGCAGCGCGCGATGTCCTGCAGCCGCTCGAGCGCAACAGGATCTCTGCTAGGGGCGAACGAGCCGCCCGCAGGGTGCTTGTCTGCCGCGCTCTGCGCCGCCGCGGCGAGGCTGCCCGCGGGCGGCGGGTGACCGAGCGCGCGTGCCTCCGCGGACGCGATCGCTGCCGCCGCCGCTGTGCAGATGCAATAAACGTGCGTCAGCGGCGTATTCTTCTAACTCAGGACCCTCTGGGGCAAAAAGGAGGGAGAGAGAAAGGGGGAGGGATGCATACCTTTATCGACGGCGCTGACGTTAGCCTCCCCGACGAGCGCGAGCTCGCGGTCGGCCTTGATGCGCTCCGCGTCGCGGAGCGCAATCTCGCGGAGCGTGGCGTCCGCGAGCTGTGTGCCGTCGCCCTCGGGGTGCTTCGCGGCCGCGCTCTGCGCCTCGGCGGCGAGCGAGCCGGGGGGAGGGCGGAAGCCAAGCGCGCGGTGCTCGTGCGACATGAGGACGCGGGCGTCAGCTGTGGAATGAGGGGGAGGCGGGGGGTCAGCGTTGGCACGAAGACGCTGAGCGCTGGGTGAGAGCTAGAGCTAGAGGTAGATGGGAGAACGGAAGGAAGGAGGGAGGGGTGGCGAACGGTGTTTTTGTGGAGAACGCCCTGTCCGCTACAGTGCCGGAGTGGAGATATACGTACTCGCGCTGATCTTGTTCAGGTTCACTCCCGGAATAGGGGGCGAATGCCGCGCGGGCGCGACGTGCTTGTCGCCCCCGTTAACGTGCTTCGCCGAGGCCGGGAGAGCATCTCTATCCGCGCCCGTGCTCGTCTTGCGTTCAGCCCTACTCCACCGTTAGCTCGGACTGCTCCTTGGGGGGCCTTGGCGCGCGTGTGCCCAGTGAGTACACTTACAGAATCCGGAGTGCGTCTTCGCGGGCGATCTCCTTGAGCTTGCTGGTGTCTGCGGTGGAGGCGCCGGGTTTGCCCTCGGGGTTCTTCGCCGCGAGGGACTGCACTTCCGCCGCGAACGAGCCCTGTGGGGGGCGGAAACCGAGGATCTTGTGCTCCTCGGACATGATTTTGCGTGCTTCCGCTTCGCGAGAGTCAGTCGATCCCTGGTGAATCGAGCGAGTGCAGGAAAGCGCACCCATGCTAACGGCTTCGAGGTCGATACCGGCCGCCTTGGCGATGTCAGAGGCCGAGCTGGAGGTTCGACGGTGTCCCTTGGACTTTGGTTTGCCGTTGGTGGGTGAGCCGTTGCGAGAGCCGCTCGAGTTGGTGGGGGAAGCATTGCGGGGCGCAGTGCCGTTGGGGGAGGAGGGGATGTGCTAGGAGGTGAGATAGCGGAGGTGTCGATGGCGCGGAGAACGTCTCCGGCGACTAGGGGTACTTCTGTGGTCATCACCGCAGCTGGTGTGCGGGTGGTGATGGTAGCGGTAGCGGACATGGTGTGTACGGTCACGGAGAGAGTTGTGCTGGACGCGGCGGCAGTGGTCACGGTCGGGCAAGGGAAGAGCTAGCGGTGGCGGGGATACGGGGACGGGGTTTTGTGGGAGGGGCGGACTGTGGAGCATCTTGGACGCCTCGTCTGCGGGGGGCTTGGGGTGCGTTCTTTGGCGATGGCGGGGAGCCAAGGTGGCGCGTCTTCCGTCATCGACTGCGCCCGACCGCTCCTCCCCCATTTTGCCGCGAAATGTCACGCTCACGTGCATGGATCGACGCACGCGTCACGTCTCCCACCGCCACCCCCGTGCTAGTGCAGTCCCCCGGATCGCGTTCCTGGCTTCTGCAGTGCCCATCGCCATGGTTTCTCTCCTCGCCCGGCGGCCCATGCTCCCTTCCGAATTAGCCGAGCTGCCCACAGGCTTCGACACTCGCGACGGGTTGAATCTTGCACCCTTCTTTCAATAGTTGTGTTGGGATAAATGTCCCGCATCCGACCCTCAGAGCCTTTACGTCTGTGTCAACGTCCAACTCATTGGCCCAGGGAGACATCACGGGCACGTTTCCTGTGTGGCTCAGTGTATGGCGATGGGCCTCACTAAAACAACGCGACCCGGAAGAATGTTCATGATGCTCACCTCAGCGCCTGGCGTTCCGTCGCTCCACCAGCTAAACCCGGCTGGCACAGTCTGGTTGCTCAACTTCAACGTTCAACCCCCGTCGCAAGGGCGGCAAGGTGCACCGTTTGCGGGGTTCGTTCATTCCCCGACCGCCCCAATCCTACCCATAGGCTCGCATTACAGCTGCTCGCCGCCGTTCCATCACGCTCATTGCGCATGTCGGAAGCGTGGCTGGATTGCGGCTTAATTTTGCGGCTGGTGGGAATGGGGGATAGCTGGCACTTTTGCGACTCTGGGGTAGAATGGTGGAAGTAGGCCTGGGTCTATGAACATTGAAAACTAGTGCCGCCGCTGTAACTGCTGGCACTGGTGGTACACACCCAATCCCAGCCGAAATGACGTCTGCGGACATCTTGACGAAAATGATATCCCTGCGATGTCCTCGCGGACGTCCTGCAGACATCATCCCGATATGACACGGATATCTGTGGTCGATCTCTCCAGGCTCTCTTCGCGGACCGGGTGTGTAGGTATCCTTGATAAACGCTCGCCGGGGGTTAGCCAATGGCAGCTGGGCGTTAAACGTTAGCCATCCAAGGTCCGTTCACAGTTTAGGAATCTGAGTTTGGTACAGTGCTACTAGTTGGTCGATACGTACGCCCATGAGCACCGGGGTCCTCAAAACGATTCTCAAAGTAAGCAGACCCGCCGGTTGGTGCTTTGGTCCAATTCTGTACGCCATCGGCGTGATACATGGCCAAGGCGGAGTCGTCGTTCGACGCGCAAAGAACGTAGCTCTCGTCCTTCAACTTCTCTCGCTCTCCTTCCCGCTTGCGTTGGGTACGTCCGTTGCGTCCGTTCTCTACCTTTCCATATGTTTTGATCTCCAAACACCTAAATACGACAGTCGTATTCGGGGTCAACGATGTCTACGACTACGACACCGACGTGCACAATCCCCGCAAAGGAGCCCACAGCCTCGAGGGCACCGTCCTCTCCCCATCCCACCATGCGCACGTGCTCCTAGCCGCATCGCTCGCGACCATCCTTATCCTCTCCGCCTCAGTGGCCACCTTTTCCCTCTCCAACCTCCTCGTCTCGTCCTCGCTCGTCTTCCTCTCCTGGACGTACTCTGCCCCGCCGTTGCGCGTGAAAGAACGCCCCATTCTCGACTCCCTTTCAAATGGGGCCATCGTCATCCTCGCGTACCTCTCGGGGTACACCGCGTGCGGCGGCCCGCTTCGCCGCGTGCCAGCGGGCGGACTCGTTCTCGGGCTGTGCACCGCGGGCGTGCACGCGCTCGGGGCGGCCGTCGACGCGGAGGTGGACGCGGCCGCCGGCCAGCGTACCATCGCGACCGCGTTGGGTCCTCTGGGTGCCATCGCCTTCGGCGCGCTCTGCTAGTGCGTGTCTTTTTTCTGCGAACCCGCCGTCGACGTATGGCTTACGGAGTGCCGATCGACCTTCGCGCAGTCTCGCGGCGCTCTGTGCTGAACGGCGCTACTCGGTCTTTGGCGTGTACATCCTCGGCGGGCTGCTCGTGATGCTTGGCCCACTTGTTGATGTCGGGCGGGCTCATCCCGCGTTTCGCGCTGTTGTCTACTGGACTGTTGGCATGTCTGCAGTGTGGTTCGTTGATAGAGCCGTGGCGTGGCGCACACGCCTTAACGATTCTCGGGCGGCATAGTCACTGTTGCGATTCGCGCACTGCTCCAGCTGCTCCTTGAAACTTGAACTCGTCTGCAAAACTTACTCTCGAAGACTCCGATGTCGCCAACATAGTCTAAGTTCCTTTCCTATGGCTACGTACGTCGTCTTTACGTTGATTTATTACAGACGCTTGCCGCCCACGTCTTTCAGTGTTCTCCGCGTCAACCCTTTGCGGGAATCGTTAAGATTGTCCGCCGTATGATCTTCCTGGCACGCGTCGACGGCGCCACACCCGTCTCGACCACTTTGGCAGTTCAACCGCATTTTGTGCACGC